CCCCCCCCCCCCGGGTCTCCAGCCCCTGCTCCAGGTGCCCCCCTCCAGGCGCCCCCGGCAAAGCCCCAGATAGCTTCCCCCAGCCCACAAGAAGCTGCCCCCTGTCCCGGAGCCAGCCGGGGCACCGGGAGCCGGGGCTGCTCTGAGTCCGAGACGGTGCTGGGCTGAGAGCTCGCTTGGGCGCGAGCCGGTGAGCCTCCGTTGCTTGTTCCCCACTGTCCGGGGGCCCCCCCCCAGCCATCCCCAGCCCAGGCCACCAGCCTCACACCTGACCTCGGCACAGCTGCCGGCCCGCGGGGGCTGCTCTTCTCGGGGGCGCGCGCGCGCACACGCGCACACACACACGCACACACACACACACACACACACGCACGCACACACACACACACGCGCACACACACACACACACGCACACACAGACACACACACACACACACACACACACACACGGAGCCCACACTCACACACGCGCTCCCACGTTCCTCGCTCTTCAGTCAGGGTGGGTCTGCCTCCTGCCTCCTGCCGCCGCCGCCTCCTCCTCCTCCTCCTCCTCCTCCTCCTCCTCAGCTCCCCTAAGTTACAGGTAGCTACGCTATTGCTGCCTACAGGCTGCCGGGCAGCTCATGGCCCAGGACCACTGGCCACTCAGCCTGCAGGCAGCAAGCCCCGGGGGGGGGCAGGAGCGGGCGCGGGGGGGGGGGCGGGGGGGGCCGGGGGGGGGGGGGCAGGAGCGAGCCCCGGGAGCAGGGAGGCTGGAGCAGGGAGGCTGGCGCGAGGAGATCCGCCTGCCAGCCCGGCCGCTGTCCTATCTGGACAGTCAGTGTGGCTCAGAGCTGGCTGAGGAATTCTTTTGTGCTGGTGCCTCCCCTTTCCTCCTCCCGCCCAGTCCCGGGGCTTTGTCCTGGCTCCAGGAGACCAGGGCTTGCTGAGGAGGGGGGCTGGCGGGAAGCTGGGGGAGGTGGCCACGACTTTTGCAACTTCGCAGTGAAAGGAGGGGCCCAGGGTCGGAAGTGGGGGGCGGGGTGGTGAGGAAGGCCAGGGGGGTGACAGTTGAGGGGCTTGGCAGCCTGGAATCCTCCTTGTAAAAGATGAGGGGAGCCTGGACATTCTTTAGCTCCCACTCCCCATCCTCCAGGATCTTGGCCTCCACGGACATGCCGACACAGAACTGGCTGTTGAGCTTTTCGCCCAGGACCCTTTCCAATAGTGGGTCCAGGCTTAGACTTCTGGGGATCACTCCCCACCCCCAACCTGCTAGGGTAGAGTTGCTTATGAGGCCTGTATCCCCTCCTGCTCCCACAGGAAAAAAAAAAAAAAAACCCAAAACGAGCCAATTCCAAGAGGCTTGGAAAGCTGGTAAAGGCAGGAAGGGTTTCTGGTGGATTTTCTGAAAGTGCCCGGTGGGCAGGTGAACACTGATGCTCTGAGGTGTGAGCTGTGACCGCCCTGCTCCAAGGAGGGGCAGAAGCTCTGGGAAGAAGGCATAGCTTCTCTGGGAACTAGCAGGTTCGCAGCCTCCATCTACCCCAGCGGCACTTGGAGCTGAGACAAGGAACCCTGCCTGGTGCCAGAGGCCCAGCCCCCGTTCCCCCTCCTATTGTGTCCCGAGAGGCCTCAGCTGCCAGCTCGGGAGGCTCCCCTCTTTCCTTCCACATTAAAATGCACAGCATTTGACTGCTTGCTAGCAGGGGCTGGCCCTCACCGTCCCCTAGGCCTTCCCTTAGGCCTCATTGGAGTTGGGTGCTCTGTCCATCACTCCCTTAGCTTTGAGGGGAGGAAGTTGGGTCTAGCCAAGTGCCCTTAGCTTGGGTTAGGACAGAGCACCTTCTTTCAAAGTACAGGAGGTGGAAGAAAGCCCTTGAGAAGGGGGAAGTGCCTCCACTACAGGGCTTGGGAAGCTGCCCCTTAGAGCATGAACTGGAGCCAGGAGCCTGGAGAGGAGTTCCCAGGTCAGTCCTTTTGGTTTTCAGTTTGGAGGAGGGGAGGGTTTGTTTGGGAAGGCAAGCACGGAAGAGAAGGGAAACCTTGAGCTAGGCCCTGCCCGTTCCCTCCCACAATGTCAATTCTAAGCCAGGCCTGACTGGGGCTGCAGGTGCCTCTGCCTTCAGAGGGCCTCCTTTTTCTCCTCTCTGCCGGGAATATAGCCAGAGAAGTGAGTGTCGCTGGCCACAGCAAGGAACTGGGCACCTCCCCTTCCCTGTCCTTAATTAATAGGGTCACATAAGTGAAGAGCTAAGGGGTCACAGATTCAGGGGAAGGGAGGAGGGACCTGAGCTCATCTAAAGCCAACTTCTTGTTTTACAGACAAGGCAACTGAGACCCAAAGTCACACAAGTAGTAAGTAGTAGTTGGGATTCAGAAGATTTGCTGACTTCATTCTTGCTCCCATCCCGCCGACTGTCGCCTCCCATTGTCCCCACTCTCTCACTTAGATGAAATCTTCTATAGACCGGCTGCTTCCTTGATGCCTGTGCACACTCTCCCATGTCTTCTCCAGTCCTTAAAAAACTCTCCCGTGATCTGAGCATCATCCACTTGCTCTCCCTTTACCCTGCCGTCGGGCTTCCAAAACTCACCATTCAACGAAATTGCTTTCTCCAAAGATGCCAAGTGCCAAATCAAATGGCCTTTCCTCAGACCTCATCCTCGAATTCCCTGAAATCACCGACATCATTGAGCACACTCTTCTCCTGGATGTGTTCTCCTTCAGGTGTTCATCATGCTTCCCTCCTGCTCCACTGCTCCTTGTCTCCTTTGCTGCATCTTCAGGTCTAGACCACTCGTGGGGGACCCCAACCTGGGGACACCCCCAAGGCCACATCCTGGGCCTTCTTCTCTTTTTGCTCTGGAGTATCTCCTGTGGTCTCTTCAGCTCCTATGGTTTGAACCATCTCTATGCAGATGGATTCTAGGCCCTAACTTCTCTCCTGAGCTCATCTCTCATCACCAATTGCCTTTTGGACATCTCAAAAACTCAACATATCCAAAACTAGAACTCATTCTCTTTTCCCTCAAACTCTCCCTTCTTTCTAACTTCCTGATTATTGTCAGGGGAGCCAGCACCACCCTGAGTCAGCCAGGCTTGCTAGCTTAGTATCATTCTTGACTCTTCATGGCTCTCCATCCACTCCACCGCCCCAATCCTTGTTTCTGGATCATTAAAATTGTCATCTGGTTGGTCTCCCACCTTCGGCAAGAGGCCTTTCCTGGTAACTCCTTCCTCTTAGCTCTTTCCTTCTGAGATTACATTCCATTTACTGCATATATCTCGTATGCACAACTTTTCGCACATTGTCTCTCCCAATAGAATGGGAGCTCTTTGGGGGCTCAGACTGTGTTTTTTGCCTTTCTTTGTACCCCCAGTGCACACAGGGCCTGGTGTATTGTAAGTGCTTAATAAATGCTTGACTGACTTCAGTCAGGACTCTTCCCATGACCTCATCATCCCTTCCCCACCGGCAGATTTTTGTCGGGGAGTCCAGATTTGTGGAGGAAGTAGCCTTACTTCCCCCAGAGAGGCAATGTGGAGTGGTAGATAGAGAACTGTCCTTAGAGCCATGAAGACTAGAGTTCAGGTCTGGCTATGATCCTGGGCAAGTAGCTTGGCCTCTCTGTGCTCTAGGCAAGACTCAAAGTTGCATTAGAAGGCACTGCCCTCCATTGGGAATTCCCTATATCAGTGAAATCATAGTCCCTATGTCCTTAGTTCCCCTCAGAAGCTGGTTGGAGGAGACTAACCTTTATGGTAGAAGGAAGAGATGGGATTAATGGTCATATCACAGATTTGGATTTAGTGCTCTGCCCAAAGGGAACGTAAATTTTAATCTCGGAAAGCTTTTTTTTTTTTTTTTTCTTAAAGACCAACCTTAACCCCAAATCACTCAGGCTCTCATTGATTGGCCAACAATAGGTCCCAGGCCAAGCCCTGTTGGTCACTGTTTGGGCCTCCGTTGTCTTCCTGGGAGGGTCTTCCCCTCCCAGATTGATTTTTTTAAAAAATTAATTTTTAAAACAATTTTCGACCAGGTAAAGAGGCCATTCTCTGCCTCAATTCTTATTAAGCCTTAATCACTGAGTGGGAGTTGCCTCAGTCAGACAGACCGAGACCTGTTAAAGACTTTAGCTTGAAAAGGCCGAGGTCTCCCGTTGTCCTGATTGATATCTGGCCACTGGACCCAGATGGCTCCGGAGGAGGAAGTGAGGCTGGTGACTTTGCACAGCCCTCCCTCACTGAAATCCAGTTCACTTGCACGTCATGGCATCAGGTCGTCCTCGAGAACAAAGGACAGACAACAATGGAATCATAGTCCCTATGTCCTCGGTTCCCCTTGTAAGCTGGACAGAGGCGCTCAACCTTTATGGCGGAGGGAAGAGATGGGATTCGTGATCACTCCTGCTATTGTCACTGTTGAGTCATTTCAGTCGGGTCCAACTCTCTGTGATCCAATTTACGGTTCTCTTGCCATCTCCAGCTCATTTTACAGATGAAGAACTGAGTCAAACAGGGTCAAGTGACTTGCCCAGGGTCACACAGCTAGGAAGTGTCAAGTGTCTGGTCTGAGGCCACATTAGAACTCAGGTCCTCCTGACTTCAGGGCCGGTGCTCTCTCCACTGCGCCACCTAGCTGCCCCTCCCCCCCTTTTTGGCTAGGCAATGGGGTTAAGTGACTTGCCCAGGGTCACACAGCTAGTTAGTGTTATGTGTCTGAAGCTGGATTTGAACTCAGGTCCTCCTGAACCCAGGACCGGTGCTCTATCCACTGCACCACCTAGCTGCCCCCAGAACAAGTCTTAATCCCTCCTCCAAGAAATGCTTATTTTTAAAATATATTTTCATTTATTTCATTAAATATTTCCCAATTACATGTAAAAATTTTAAAATAGGTTATTTCTTAACATTTTGAGTTCTAAATTCTCTCCTTTCCTCTTGCCCCTCCCCCCCTTCAGAAGGCTAGCAATTTGATATGGATCATACATGTGAAGTCATGTAAAACATATTTGCATATTAGCCATGTTGCAGAAGAAAACAGAGACAAGAAATAAAACAAGAAAAATAGAGAAAATTTTAAAAATATGCTTCAATCTACATTAAGAATTCATCAGTTCTCTCTCTGGAGGTGGAGAGCATTTTTCATTATCGGTCTTTTGGAATTGTCTTGATCAGAGTAGCTAAGTCTTTATTATTGTACAATACTGTTGTTACTGTGTACGATGTTCTCCTGGTTCTCCTCACTTCACTTTGCATCAGTTCATGTAAGTCTTCCCAGGTTTTTCTGATACCCTCCTGTTCATCATTTCTTATAGCACCATAGTATCCCATCACAATCCTACACCATGACTTTCCATAAAATTTGGTTGCCTGGTGAAGTTCATCAGTAGGGTATGTCAGTTTCGTGACGGCATGCTTGCCTGGTTTCTATAATGGACAATACTCTTGAGCTTTCCCAGTCGCCAACGGAGTGAAGCAGGGCTGTGTGCTTGCTCCCGCGCTTTTTAGCATGATGTTTTCTTCCATGTTCTCGG